TCCCCCCCCCACCTGTCCTTTCCCTCCCCCCTCTCACCTGTCCTGCTCATCCCCCTTGATCCTCTTCCAGGGCTCGTTCACCTGGATGTACTGGTTGCCGTGGCGGGAGATGCTCAGGACACACCTCAGGGCATCACGGATGCTGGGGGGACCCGGGGGACACACACACACACACCCTGAGTGCCCGCTGTGGGGCAGGGTCCTGCCTGCCCCCCCATCATGCCACTCCAGCCCCCGGGTCTCACGCCACCCACCGGACTTTCTCCAGCAGCTGGTGGTACTGGTGCAGCTCCAGGGTGACCCGGGCCAGGAGCCTCTTGTCATCCAGTGTCAGGACCATCTCGGGGACGGTGCCACCAAAGAACTTGCACACGAACATGCCAGCCCTGGGGGGGAGAGAGGGGAGAGGAGGCATGAGCACAGCCTAGGGACACGAGTGCCCCCTTGCCACTGCTGGCGTAGAACCTGTTGATGAAGTTGCCCAGGTTGTTCAGCAGCTCCGAGTTGTTCTTGAGCAGGAGGTCGCTCCAGGAGAAGGCGCTGTCCTGCCCCTCGGGCCGCAGGAACAGCAGGTAGAAGCGCCAGATGTCGGCAGGGATGCCCGTGTCCTTGGCCATGTCCCCAAACACTCCCACACCCCGGCTCTTGGAGAACTTCCCATCTTCATAGTTGAGGTACTCTGGGGAGGGGGGCAAGAGGAAGCCCACCATGGGGCCAGGGAGTGGAGCCAGCCCTGGCCCAGGCTGGGAACGACCCCACAGCACAGGGTGACACCATCCCAGTGCTTGTGCCCCTCAAAGGGGCCTCCAAGTCAAGGACAGCAAATGCAGTTGTGCCTACACAGGGCAGAATGGTCTGTTCCCAGGACCTGGGGGAAGCAGGGAAGTGTGGAGCCAGCCTGGTGACCCCCAATACCTGTAGCTATGAGGTGGTTCACCAGGGTGTAGTTGTCATCAGCGCCCAGGAGAGAAGAGGGGAAAATGACGCTGTGGAAGGGGACGTTGTCCTTGGCCATGAAGTTGTAGAGCTCGACCTGACAGACAGTGGGGGGAAGGTGGGGTGGGGGCAGCACTGCACCCTGTCCCTACCTCCACCCTGCAGCACCACCAGCTTCCCACCTGCTGTGGGTTCTTCCACCACCTCTCCCAGTGCTCGGTGTAGTTGGCTGTAATGGACAAGTAGCCGATGGGAGCATCAAACCACACGTAGAAGACCTGAGGGGAGAGTTGACATCTGAGCTGGGGGACCCCCAGGCAAGGGCACTTGGGGCCAAGTGGGACTCACCTTGTCACGGAAGCCATCGAGGGGTACAGGGGTGCCCCACTTCAGGTCCCGGGTGATGCAGCGGGGCTTGAGCCCATCCCGCAGCCACGAGCGGGTGATGTAGCGCGCGTTGGCCGTCCAGTCCCCCCTGGCCCAGGTCTGCTCCAGCCAGGGCTCCAGCTGCTCCTCCAGCTGCAGGGGGACACCCATGGGTGGGCTGTGGGGGAAGGGTGCCCCATCTCCTCCCCCAGCAACAAAACTCGCCTTGGGGAGGTCCAGGAAGAGGTGCTGGGTGGGTTTCACCACGGGGACGCCCCTGCAGAGCTTGCACTGCGGGTTCTGTCAAGAGGGAAAGAAAACAGGGCTTGGAGAGAGCCCAGGACAAGGCAGGAGATCCCAGGGATGGTCCCTGGAGGTTTCCTGTCCCACCTTCAGCTCCACAGCATTGATGAGTTTGCCACATTTATCACACTGGTCCCCCCGGGCCTCCCCGTAGCTGCAGAAGGGGCAGGTGCCCTCCACGAAGCGGTCGGCCAGGAAGCGCTGGCAGGTCTCGCACTGCAGCTGCTGCAGGCTGTCCTGCAGCAGGAAGCCCCGGGCCAGCAGGCGCTGGAAGATGTCCTGGGCAATCCTGGGGCAGGAGGGGGGCATTTCCCATCAGCCAGGGAGCCACAGAGCACCCTCAGGCTGGGGCAACATTCCCAGCCCCTCCGCGTGGGGCTCCCCCCGCCCAGGGGGGCTGCTCACGTGGTCTGGTGGGGGGTGGTGGTGCGGCCAAAGTAGTCGAAGGAGATGTGGAACCAGCGGTAAATGTCGGCGTGGAGGGCGTGGTACTTGTCACAGATCTGCTGGGGGGTCAGCCCCTCCTCCACCGCCTTGGTCTCCGTGGCTGTTCCGTACTCGTCGGTGCCGCAGACAAAGAGCGTGTTCCAGTTCCGCAGGCGGCAGTACCTGGGGGGGGGACACACCCTGTGACACCCCTGCAGGGCAGCACAGCCCTCCCCCCGAGCCCCCACCCCCACCCCAAGGGGCCCAGGTCTCACCTGGCGAAGGTGTCGGCGCTGAGGACGCAGCCGATGATGTTGCCCAGGTGGGGCACGTTGTTGACGTAGGGCAGGGCACTGGTGATCAGCACGTTCCTCATGCCCTCCACGGGCAGCCTGGCGCGGGCAGGGGTGGTCAGAGCAGACCCAGAGAGCAACACCCCACCTCACAACAACGTGGCATCAGGCTGGCAGCCCCCGGCCGGGCCCCTCTGGGGTGTGGGGACACCAGCCCTTGTGTCACCCCGGGGACTCACACGGGTTTCTGGGGCTGCCAGGGCTTGGGCAGAGCTGCAGCACCAAGCCCC